TCACCAGCAATGCAGCACTAAACATGCTTGCACACATCTTACAAGGCACATGTCTACAAGTTGCTCCTGGGATCCAGTCAGTTATTTCTATGTGGGATATAAATGTTTTCAACTTTGCATAACAATGCCAGTTTTAACATTTTGTTTTATAGAATATTCAGTTTATATTCAGAAAGACCTTTCTCATTTAACAGAGAAAAATACTGGAACAGAGGTAAAATAGCAGGCCTAACTCACACAATTTAAAAGAACCAGCGAGAGTACTCGAGAGTACTAAAATTGTTACTTTGTGACAATTTTACAGATTACCAAATTCAGAAGTGGTTAAGTGGTCAGTAGTCACATAACATAAACAAGAATCATAAACTTAACGTGAACTCTCTTCAGCTGTCTGTGCTCGAAACTGGTCACCGACTTTTCCTTCTTTAGGATGGAGTCCAGGTGAGGCTTCCAAAAGATGGAAGGCTCTGTGATAAACATATAAAATTTTGTCGGATGTGCACCAGTGCATTTTAGGGGAAAAGGATGAAAAGATTTCATAAATCTCAAACCCAAAAATGTGAAGAAAAAAAAAGTTCCGCTGCATATATACTAAAATTCGGAAGATAAAAGAACCCTCACAGAGACAGATGCGGTGCACTCCGCACCCTACCGCGCGGCACGGCTGCGCCCGACCTGCCTGAGCTCCCGACACCAGTACACACAGCCCCGCTTCAGCTCCAGCCCGCCGCCCTCCCACCCGCGCTCCAGCCGGGTCCTAGCCGTGGCGGACTCGGACCTCTGGCGCCCTGAAACCTGGCGAGGATTTCCTGCGGGAGGGCAAGCCCCGTGGGCGACTGGTTCCGAGGCGTGGACGCTCACTCCACCGTGGCCTGCGATCCCGTCCGGGTTTTTTGTCACGCTTCAGGCCCGGGAGAAGCCCGGCGCGCGTCAGCAATAGGGGTGGGGCGGGGCGGGGCGGAGTTGCGCCTGCGTACTGGGCGCTGATTGGCTGCTCCGAGTGGCGCAGGGCTTGGCGGGAGTTTCGCGGCTGGGTCTGCGCGGAGAGCCCGGCCATGGCTCTGCGGTGGTTGGTGCCGTCCCCGGAGCCTGTGGGGTAAGCGCTGCCCACTCTCGAAGCCCGGCCAGGACCAGCCTGATCTTCTCCTCTCCTCCCGCAGTCTGTGCCTCTCCGAGCTACTGGAACGGGGTAGTGAATTAAGACCCAGTAGTGTGGCGTTAGCCTGAGGAGTGCAGCGATATATCTCAGAGTAGCTTGAAACAAAGCATTCTGCAAATTCTGAGTGAGCTGATTGCCAGGTCTTCCATGATAGGGAAGCTTACACGGGCTGGCTGTGAGTGGTGTCACTTTCAAGACCGCCTTGTATTTATTATGCACTAGACACCACTGACCAGAGAGCCGAACGCAATCTTTCTGGGGGTGTGGACCTTCGGTTCGTAGGGTCTTCTTAAAGGGCATTCTGTGGTGGGCCAGGCGTCTCACTGCTATGAATAAGGGCCTTGCATTCAAAAATAGTTTGCAAACTGCGCTCTGAAAGTCTGTGCATGCGTTGGCCAGTGCCTGAGTGGCAGTGTCTGAGCACAGGGCCTTGGAGGGTGTCTGGGTGCTGCTGGCCTCAGGACCATACCCTGGGGGTTGGGAAGAGAGGACTTCTGGCTCTGGGAACACTGCTTGGAGAAGGCTGTGTTCGTCGCTGTGTGGTGAGGATGGAGGGCTGCAGGACACCGCTGGGGGGATGGGTAGGTGGGGACACCAGCAAAGACCAGTGACCACTGGGTAAGAGGAAGGGAAAAGGAAGTAACAGCCTTGCTGGTCAGCTGAAGAGAGTTAAACTTGATTTGACAGGCCAGTGGTGTTTGTTGCCTTGTTTGGAACTTTTTTTTCTTCGCATTTTTGGGTTTGAGATTTATAACATGTTTTCATGCTTTTCCCCTAAAATGCACTGGTGCACATACAAGATTTTGTATGTTTATCACAGAGCCTTCCATCTTTTGGAAGCCTCACCTGGACTCCATCCTAAAGAAGGAAAGGTCGTTGACCGGTTTTGAGCACAGACAGCTGAAGAGGGTTTACGTTAAAAAGTTTATATGATTCTTGTTTATGTTATGTGACCACTGACCACTTCTGAACTTGGTAATCTGTACCATTGTCACAAAGTAAATTTTTAGTCTACCTTCTTAGGTTTTGAAATTCAAAGCCTGGAAACTTGTTAGAAATGCAAAACTTCAGGTCTCATCCCAGACTTGCTGAATTGGATTTGGGGTGCGTTAGAGGGGTTAGCCTCAGCGGCTTCTTTTAACAAGCAAGCCCTTGAGATGATTCTCATGCGGGTTCAAGATTGAGAATCATTGCTCCATTTTACCATTTTTTTCTTTACTGTGGTTCACAGAAATATTTTATGTCACAGTGCATGTGTTTACTCCTACAATAAAAGTTTATGAAAATACTATATCCTGTGCAATCATATTTATATTCTCTTATATTTCCTTTTTTAAAATACTGGGATCGCAATGTTAAAAGATATTATAGGGTAATTGATAAAATTTGAGTATGGACTCTAGATTAGATATTTTGTCGGTGTTAAATTGCTAAATGTTAAAAACTGCACTGTGACTATGGAAGATAATTTGCTCCTAGGAAAGACATACTGGCAGACCTATAAGGAAGGATGTAGTGTTTCCAGTTTACCGTGCACACAGAAAGCAAATGAGACAAAACATAAACTATGGGTGGATCTGGGTCTGGGTTTGTGGTACACCGAAACCCCTTATACTTTTTTTTTTTAAACAACTTTTCTGTAAGTTTGAAATAATATCAGATGAGTTAGTCAACAAAATATTGGTTCAGACACAGTAAACTGATTTTGATACCTACATACAGTTATCTGAAAAATACTGGTATAATTTACATGGAGTATTTTAAAGTCAAAACTTACATATTGTATTCTACCAGAGTATCCCTGGTACTATTGTACTATGTCTGCTACTGGAAAGATACTCAATACCTGCCCACTGTTTACTGCCATTATTACTAGTACTATATTTTTCTACATTTCTCCTGCCACTGTTACCTCCTTTTTATTGTGGTCCTTATTTTACATTTGTTAATTTTAAGCATGTTGAAGATACGCAGCTTTATCTTTTTTATACTAATGCTCACTGAAGGGATTATGTGTGTGTGTGTGTGTGTGTGTGTGTGTGTGTATGCGTGTATGCGTGTATGCAGTACTAGGGATCAGACTTGGCACCCTGCACTTGAGGCAGGTGCTTATGCTGCTGAGCTATCTCCCCAGCCCTGGAGGGAGTTTTTAAATGGTGGAAAGAGGGCAGTACTGATTTTGAAGTAATGTGAATTTTAACACACATTTCTTCACTTCCTGGCTGTATCTTGCTTTGCTTGTACCTTATGAGGCTGTTAGTTCAATGAGAAAATATGTGTACAAGAACCAGACACAAGATGAGCGGGGTGTTAGGGGCCTAATGCTAGTGTACTTTACTTTGCTCAGTTCCTCAGAGAGTCAGTCACTGCTGGTTGTTGGGGACCTCAGGGACCAACGGCAGGTTTACTTCTCCATGTCCCTGAGGCAGGAGAAGGAGACAGCAATGTCATTTTATGCATTGTTGATATGATTTGATCTATGAAAAAGAAAAATTTTAGAAAGGTTCTGCTTTCTAAAATGATTTTGCCATAACATAAATACCACTGGATGCACACTGTTGGTACAATTAACAAAAATGTAATCTAGAAAGAATTAAGACTTGGAAAGGGTCACAAGGAATGGTGTTTTCCCTAATTTTTAAAATATTTCCTATGCTTCCCCTTTGTGTTTTTTGTGAGTATGTGTATTTTCTGTTTAATAGTGCAGGATACTCGAAGAACACTTTAGGAGGAGCACATTCCATGAAAGATGTAAGTTATATTTTTATATTTTAATGTAATTTTCTCACTGTCAACAAAGCAAAATAATATTCTGTGGGAATCTCAGAGTTTTGGAGATATCTTAGTAAGCTCAAAGTTTCATTGTGGTGTAGAAATACATTCTTTTTCTTTCCACTTGTTCCTATAATGGAGAAAATGACCTTTGTTCACATTTTAGATCTTCTTTTCTGAACCTAGATTTAATTTTATTTTCATTTAAGATAATTGACATCATGTAAAGATGGTGTAACTTTCTAAATTTTTCTACTTTTTCCTTATAGCAATGTATGTTATAGTTTTAAAAAATTGTTTATGATTTCATGCTCTTCTACTTAGTCCATATTATAGTTTTGTTTTTCTTTAGGGGAGAGCCTTTAAGTAAATGTGTGTTAAACACTTTTTTTTTGTGTGTGTGTGATGGTTGTGGTGCTGGGGATTGAATCCAGGGTCTCATGCATGTTAGGCAAGCGCTCTGTTATTATACTATATTTATTTTTGGAATACATTCTAGTAGCTAATTCTAGATTACTTTCTAGTGGCTTGTCCTGTTGCCACTGGCATTTTCCACTAGCACTGAGAATTCCTGCTTCTCAGGTTAAGGGCAGTTGAGACCCACCCTTCCTTTGCTGCCCCTGGCTCTTGGGGCCCTAGATGGTCCCTCTCTGCCTTGCTGCCCTCACCCCAGCCTGAGAGGATAGCTCTTTCCCTGTCCCTGAAGCCCTTGGGTATGCCTGGGATTGTGCTAACCACTGTCCCCAGCTGGCATGTTCTTTTGGTGGACTTCTCGCTGCTCTCCTGTCCTTCCCCTGCCCCTCTGCTCCTGTTACACTTACAGCCCACTGTGCCTGTGGGTGGGGACGTCCTCTATACTCTTTAGCCTTGCTCCCAGGCTCTCTGAGTTGAAAGTCAGAATGCCTGGCGTGAATTTCTTCAGCTCTCTTGTCCTCTTTCTCCTGCAAGGCAGCCTATAGTACAAATGATGGAGGACCCTTTGCCTTGGAGCATCAGCTCTTTTTGCCACTCTGCCACCGTATACTCCATCCTGAGGCATTGAGAGTGGTGTTTTTGTTTTGTTTACTAATTTTAATCCATCTTTTTTAATACCTTCCATAATTTTCTAATTTTCCTCTGTTAATAGTATCCTTCCACAATTGTGGAAGGTGGCCGCCACCTCCTCTTCTTCCTCCTCCTCCTCTTCCTCCTCTTCCTCCTCCTCTTCCTCCTCTTCTTCTTCCTCCTCTTTCTCTTCTTCCTCCTCCTCTTCTTTCTCCTCCTCCTCTTCCTCCTCCTCCTCTTCCTCCTCCTCCTCCTCTTCCTCCTCCTCCTCCTCTTCTTCCTCCTCTTCTTCCTCCTCCTCTTCTTCCTCCTCCTCTTTTTCCTCTTCCTCCTCTTCTTCCTCCTCCTCCTCCTCTTCCTCCTCTTTCCCCTCCTCTTCCTACTCTTCCTCTTCTTCTTCCTCCTCCTCCTCCTCCTCCTCCTCCTCCCTCTCCCCTCCCCCCCTCTGTTTTCATTTGGATTCAGGGCAGCAGAGTTCATAGACTTCGCAGTATATTTGACTGTACTGCCTGTCTTGAAAGCAGGACCTCTCACTGTGTAACCTTGAAGCTGCTGCAGACCTATTGGGCGTGTGGTATTGCTAGGGAGAGTGCCTGTTGCCTTCCCCACATCAGGGATTTAGGCAGTTATAGCCTGGGCCAGATGGAGCCTGGCATTTGTTTTTGTACAGCCCTATAAACTAAGAATGATTTTTACATTTTTAGATAGGGTTTTTTTGTTTGTTTATTTGTTTGGCAGAACCGGGGATTGAACTCAGGCCCTTGTGCTTCCCAGGCAAGCGCTTATTCTACTGAGCCATCTCCCCAGCCTTTAGATAGTTGAAATAAAAATATTTTGTGACATGAAAAAATGATGTGAACTTAAACTTCGGTGCCCGTGAGTCAAGTTTTTTTGAAACACAGCATGTTCATCTTTGCTGTGTCGCTGTTATCTGCTTTCACACCAGTGGCTGAGTTTTAGTAGTCAGAGCTCAAGCCTAATGGCCTTCAAAGCCTAAAATATGTTTTCTTATATAGGTTGACCAAACCCTGGCTTAGATGAGTAAAGGACTCTGTTTCTCTAAAACATGTAAAATTGCTTCTTTAGACAGCAGTAATAGCAAGAGTACCCTTGCTAAGTAAGTCGGATTTGTGAGGTTCTTTGTTAGTGCCAACTCACTGACTGATTTTATTCACTTTTAGAAAGCTGGTACAGAGCACAAACCACCTAATGTGTTTGACTTTATTGATGATTCTGTGAACTCAAGCAGGCTAAGTGAAAATGAGAAACACGAAGAACCTTATGAAACTTTTGGTTAGTATTTTAAATCCTTATGCTAAATTGACATGAAGCTGACAATGTTTAATATATAGTAAAAATTAGGATTATTTTCAAATATAAAAATTAATTGTTTGGATATTAATATGATGTTCTAGGAAGTACTTGATAATTGAAATTTTACCTTCTGCCTATGAATTTGACTACTCTAGGTACTATGTACAAGAGGAATTATATAGTATTTTTCTTTTTGTAACTGATTTATCTCATATGTGTTGAAATGTGTGAGGATTGCTTTTTAAAAGCTAATATTTCATTTTACACACACACACACACACCACTTAGTTACCCATCCACTAGTGGACATTTGAATTGCTTTTACCTTTTGATGATTGTGGATAATGCTGCTATTAATGTGTATGTGTGTGTGGACATACATGTATATCCTCCAGTCCCAGCTTTTTTAATCTCTTTTGGGTATCCCAAAATGGAATTACTGCATAATGTGATAATTCTAGATTCGGGTTTTTGGGGAATCACTGTTCTGTTTTCTGTGGTGGCTGTACCATTTTATATTCTACGAGCAATGCATAGGGTTCTCGTTTCTCTGTGTTCTCCCTCACCTATACTTGATATTCTTTTCTTTACTAAAGCTGTCTCAAGGGATATGAAGCATATTTCATGGTTTTGATTTGCATTTCACTAATGACTAATGATATCAAGTATCCTTTTAGCGTGTTTATTGGCCAATTGTATATTTTCATTAAGAACTGTCTATTTAAACCGTTTGCCCATTTTAAAATTGTATTACTGTGTCATTTTATTATTAAGTTGAAAGATCCAGCTTTATGACTGGTTACAAATGATAGTTACATCTAAAGAGAAAACAAACCCTTTGCTTAGCTCAGGATGATACAGAGTACATTACTAACTTTAAAATTGTGAGGTTGGTATGTTCAATGTTTAAGTAACTATTTATCTGAAAAAAATGTTTAAATGTGCATCATGATGCTAAAATTTGAGGTGTTTGGGCTGGGGAGATAGCTCAGCGATCTAAGCACCTGCCTGGCAAGTGCCAGGACCTGGGTTCTTTCTATCCATGGCTAAAACTGGGCGTGGTAACACACACCTCTGATCCTAGTGCTGGGGAGGCTGAGACAGGAGGCTCACTAGGAGTCCAAGCTTCGTAGCAAGACCCTATACCAAACAAAAATAAACATAAATAAATAAATAAAATTTGAGGTGCTTAAAGAAGTAGCCACTTGCCTTATTGGCCATCTCCTCTGCCCCCGCCCCGCCCAGCTCTTCTCCCCTGCCAGAACCCTGCCATGAACCCCACTGGTTTCCATTCCTTCTCCTTTCAGAGTTGGTAGAACCACCTTTTCCTTAGCATTTCTTTTCTGTGCCTTTCCACTGAGGCCATTGGACTCCTATCTTTTGCCTCATTAAAGTCAAGTTTTTATGCTGCCTAAAGGCTTAGCAATTGAGAGTAAATAAGAAAGCTACAATCTTTCCCTACAAAGGCGGTCTTCATTTACAAATACTGAGTGCCTGCTGTGCTTGGCACTTTGGAAAATGGGAGTGGGCCAACCACTGAAAACCTGTTGAACTGGTCATTGAAGCAGTGGTGTCCCACAAACAGCTTAGGTTACTCTGTAGAAGCATGGAAAGAAAATGTTAGACTTCCTATTTACTTATATCTGTATGTTTTTATCTCATGAAAATATTCCTGCTAATACATGGGTGTAGGAATGTAAGTTTATAATTTAAAAATACCCATGCATTTATTGGAGATGTGGTTTAAATTTTTTATTATTGAGTTGTAAGATCAAAAACATTTTTCAAGTGGCTTGTGTAACTGATTTGTTTATCAGCTACTTGAACAAAGATTGCTTTGAATTCCACTGTAAAGCTGTAAATATACTGCCCAAACAATCACACTTTTAAAGCTTGTACATTCTGTGTCTTGTAGACCCTCCGTTACATAGCACTGCTGTATATGCTGATGAAGAAGAATTTTCCAAACATTGTGGATTATCTATCCCTTCAACTCCCCAAGGAAAAAGAAGAAAGAAAAAGTATGATTATATTTTAACCAACTGTTTGTTCATGCTTATTGGGATTTCTGGACAACTCTTTAAAATAGAAGAGTTTTTAAGAAAACTAAAGTATTTTTTAAGATCTTTTAAGCCGGGTGTGGTGGCGCACGCCTGTAATCCCCTTACTGGGAGGTGGAGACAGGAAGATTGCTGAGTTCTTGGCCAGCCTGGAGTACACAGCAAGATCTGTCTCAAATAAACAAAAAAGATCTTTTGAACTGACTTGTCATATTTCCCCTCAAGAGAACTAGGACATAAATCTTAATATTTCAGTAACTGATTTTACTTATAATGTTATAGTCATTGACATAAAAGATACCCACTTATCTGTCTTTATTGGGTTGAGTTAAATTATAAACCAGACTGGAGGAAATGGCTGTTTATATGATGATGCACAAATATCTATGCGCCTGAGGTCTTTGTGTCTTTTCATGCTATTGTTTGTATCACATATATTTTGTATATTTCTTAAGTTTATTCCAAGATAACTTACCTTTTCTGTTGATATTTGGCAGTTATAAATGAGGTCTTCTACTTTATCTTTCATATGTGGTTGTCTATGCGTGAGCTAAAAATTTCTTCCATTAAGTTTTTACTATTTTTGATTCAAATTTATAAATTATTAATCATTCTCCTTACTCAATGCTAGATGTTGAAAAATAAAGATGTACACTTTGTGCTTAAGAATATCTATCCTCTTATGCTATTATGTTTCCATTTGTGGGATGATAAAACAACTCTACGGGGTCTGGCCTATTTGCTAATCTTCAGCTCTTCCTTCCTGTGCTCTACCTCAGGGCCTTTGCTTATACCATTTGCTGTGCTTGAGTTGCTCTTCTCCCTGTGTCTGCGTGGCTTGGTGCCATGTGTCCTTTTGAATTTCAGATGTCACCGTATCACAGCAGTCTACTCTGATACCTCCCAGAAAAAAGCACTCTTCTTTATCAGCATATTTTCTCTACTTAGTTCTTTTTCTGAGAGCATTTATATCTAACCAACATATCTCTAATAGAAATAGCTAAAGACAGAGGAAGACCTGGCTATGATTTCTGCTGCTCTGCAGGTTCTGGGAACACAATCCAACACATGGTAGGCACTCAGTGGATATTCCAGTTCATTCTTGATGTGTATAGTGTGTGACATGGTGCAGAGGTGACTGACTGTGGACCCACTGTGGTGGGATAGATGTGGCCTGAGGAGGCAGGTTCAGAGTAATGCACCAGGGAGCTCTGGCAGAAAGATTGCTTCCTAAAGGAGTCCTTTGCTGGATAGAAATGCCCAGCCCCAATTTAGCCACCATTCTTCTACTCTCTGGAGACTACTGACATCTGGCTGTGGTAGATCCTGAGGACTGTGCGGCCAGAGCCTGTCACTTCCTCCAGGGAAGTCTAAGCAGTGTGCTTTCAGGGTGGCTGTCTCAGCTGCTTCTGGCTGTATCTTTTGACTTCTTCCTAGCATTTTCTTCTCTTGAACCCTGCATTCTATCTATACACTGTTGTTGTTCTTGTTGTTTTTTAACATTCCAGGCTATGGGGCTCAGAAGATAGCTCGGTGGTCTAAGTGCCTACTGAAACTGGGTGTGGTGGCACACACCTATAATCCCAGTGCTGGGAGACTGAGACAGGAGGATCACTAGGAGTCTGAGCTGCATAGTGAGCTTTTGTACCTAATTAATTAATTAATTTTAAAAATACCAGGCTTTTTTTTTTTTTTTTTTTTTTTCAGAACTGGGGATTGAACTCAGGCCCTTGCACTTGCCAGGCAAGCACTTACTCTACTGAGTCATCTCCCTGGCCCCATCCAGGATGTTTTATATTGCTGTTCTTTTCTTTCTGCCTTAAATGCCCTGTCCAGCACTTCTTTTCCTGGGTATTTTCGAAAGTCAGCCCAAGTATCGTAGCCACATGTCTACATTTTCTCTGAGAGATGCTTGCTAATTTATCACTCAGTATTATCTTTGGTCTTCATACTAGGCATTGTACCCTTTAAAGAGGGGCCTTTCTCACTTTTAAAATATATTTCTCGTATTTTATGTTTTGAGGTTGATATTAAATATATATTTATGAAATTGAATTAAAAGATGAATTTTCTTCCATTAGAAGTTTGGCTTAGTTTTTTTTTTTTTTTTTTAATAAGATGAGTTATTCTCTTCTGTATCATGTAATGGTAAGCCTAGTAAGCCTAGGGGATTAACTTTCTTTTTTTGAGATAGCGTTTCACTATGTAGTTCTGGCTAACCTTGAACATACTATGTAGTCCAGGTTGGCCTTGAACTGTAAGCAGTCCTCTTGCCTCAGCCTCTCAAATGCTGATATTACAGGCATCTGGCATGGATTAGCTTTATATACTATTGATAGCTCACATTTCTGAAACTGGAAAAGAAAGGCACAGTTCTCAGGGCCAGAGAGTGCTGCAGCCCTGCATCACTATTACTTAATGTCTAGTACAGACCGATGTGGCCTACAGGTAGGAGGATACAGGACACAGCAGTCAATCTAGGTAGGTGACTGGCCTGCGCATGACAAAGAGGGTATCTCATCATTATGTTGAGCTTATTGTCGTGTTAGACAAACAACCTATAGAAGATTGAGTAAAATGATTGTATGTAAAATACTGATTGCTTGTTCTTTGGTGCAGTTCCAACATGTCTGAAAATGAAGCAAGTGAAGATGACTCTGTAAAAATTAGTGCAAAAAAGGTATGAAGAAGCATTCCTTTCTACCTTAATTTGTAGGATAGTTTGTATTTTATTTAAATTGGGTAAAAATAGAGAAAAGTACCCTATAAAATATTTCATCTCCTGTTTAAATTGGATTCAAATAGAGAAAATATTCCACAACTATGTTTTTCATAGAAAAAACATGTTTTAGGCAATTGTTTTATAATAAGAGTGCAATTTTTTTTATCTAAGGTGTTTTTACTAAAGAGTTCTCAAATTTCTTATGTACCTAATCAGTATTCATATTGCTTATATAACATGTTTAGTTTGTGACGTACAAACGTAGAATTGTGGGGGAGATTTATCTAGAGCTCTTTATGTTTAATGTCTTCTCCTCTAACCATGTTGTTATCTATGTAGTATGTTCAGTTTTGAAGTTAGAAATGATAAATATGAATTCTGTAGCTTTCTGCCATTACAGTAGAACATAAACATCTGTGCTTTCTAAACTAGTGATGCTGTTTCCTTCATAGTCAAAAAGAAAACTCAAGCCCCTTAGTGATGAGTATGAAAGTGGTGACGAAGGTGACATAAGAAGAAAAGTTAAATCAGCAGAGAAAATGAGTACACAGCAGCATGAAGCTATTCCCGCTGTGGCATCTTCAGACTCTTTGGAGAAATCAGCTGGGCCAGTCACCCCTAAAAGGACAGGCCCCCCCAGTGCCCAGGCCTCTCTTGGAAAAGTGACACCAGAGACACAAAGTCAACCGGTAAGAGTGGCTGCCATTTGGTTGGAGAAAAAGAGAAGCTTACTGAAAAATGGGAGGAAAGGAAAGCATTTTGATTTTTTCCTTCAGTTCTTCTAAGTAAATTTAATATTTTTTATTATAAAAATGTTTATTTGAGAAAATTTAGGCTATGTGAAAAGAAGATAAATTCACCTGGACAACCTAAAAGTATCCAGCATGGCTTTTTTGTTTTTAATCTGTACTTTTGCTGGGCTTTTGTGACAGTAAATGTGACCATCTAGAAGTGTGATCACTGAGCATCCTAGTGTCATTGTACTGGATGCATGCAGTGTTCCTTCCATGGATGTGCCATTGTCTAATCTCTTACTGAGAACTATGGCCCTGTAACAATTTTAAAGGCTTTTAAGTTCTTTATAGCTAAACCTTTACACACACATTTGATCATTCCCTGAGAAAACTATTGCTCTGACAATATTTCTGGGTCATATTTGATCTATAATTCTTGACATATGTCTTTTGGTCAAGTTCTTAATATGTCATTGTATGCAGTTACATTAATGTTTTGCATGATAATTTATTCTCAAGTTTGACAAAAGAATTATAACGTCTCTTCCCCAGTCTTCTGCTTTCTATCTTCCACCCTCTAAACACAGACAGGTGGCCTTGTAACTAGTTTCTTACATATTCTTCCAGAATTTCCTTCTGTACAGAGGAATGTATTTCCTTTTTTTAAATACATAAACAGATGTACATACATGTTGCCTGCCTCTTTGTTGAGTCTGTTGTGCTGAATGCCCATGTGCACTTGAATTTGGGGCTGCAGGGTGTAAGGTCAAATTGACAGTACAGCTTACGTATTGTGTTTTGTTGTGTCTTGGTGAGGTAGCTGGTAGCCTACTTAATCTCAGTTACATAGAGGAGATTTTTTTTAATCTCACACCTTTGTGGATTTTTTTAGTTCTTTCGTCTTGTCTGTTTTGTTTGAGGTGGAGGTTCTTGTTTTTGTTTTTGTTTTTGTTCTTGTTCTTGTTTTTTTTTTTTTTTTGAGATGAGGCCTTGCTGCGGTGCTCAGGCTGATCTTAAAATTGTGGGCTTAACTGAGCGTGTCAGTACAAATCTGTAATCCCAGCATTTGGGAGGCTGAGGCAGGAGGACTGCTGAGAGTTCGAGGATAGCCTAGGTTACTTGGTGAGTTGAAGGCCAGCCAAAACCACGTAGGAAGGCCCTGACTTATAAAGGACAAAAAAACAAAACTTGAGCACCTGACTGATCTTTCAACCTCAGCTTCTTCCATAGCTGGGACTACAAGAGTGTACCGCCATGGACCCAGCTACTTTGCAGTTTCCAGATATTTTTCAAAAAAAATATTATTGTTTTTAACAAATTATAATGGATACATTTGTGGGATACAATGTTTCCTTGATATATGTATACAATATATAATGGTCAATCAAGTTAGCATGTCTATTTTACTTTTTTGGTCATGAAACATTTGAAATTTACCCTTATAGATATTTTTTGAAAGTATTTTCTGTACTAAGCTATACAGTGGATCTGAAAATCTTATTCTTCCTATCTAACTTAAATGAACCTTGTAACCAGCCCATTGTCAGTCTCCCCAATTCAAGCTCTTAAAGTCAGCATGTTCTTTCTCAGTTGAAGATATCTGTCTTTTATTTGAATTATTTGGTTCATTTACTTTTTATGTAGTTATTGACATGCTTACATTTATGTTTACCATCTTGCTGTTTTTCACCTGTCTCTTTTGGTTTTTGCACATGTATTATTACTCTTATAAAAGTTCATTTTAAGGGCTGGCAAGATAGCTCAGCGCACTAAGCACCTGCTTAGGCAAGCGCAGGGATCAGGGTTCGATCCCCAGCACCACGTACCATACTGACCCTGCCCCTGGGCACGCTGAGTGAGTTCGGGTATGGTGGCACATGCGTGTAATCCCAGTGCTGGGAAGGCTGGAAACAGGAGGATCAGTATGAATCCTAGCTGTGTAGTGAGACCCTGTACCAAATGCAGCTAAAAAAAAAAAAAAAAAAGCCCATTTAAAAATAAAACTTGGGCTGGGGATACAGTGCCAGCCTGTCAAGCACAAGGTCCTCAGTTCAATCCTTGAAAATAAATAAATAAATAAATGAAACTTTAGAGGTAGGTGGTGGCACACACCCTTACTCCCAGTACTCAGGAGGCTCAGGCAGGAGGATTGCATGAGTTGAGGCCAGCCTGCACTACACAGTGTCTCAATGCCCCCCCCCATGTGTATATATGTATGCATAACACTTCTACTATAGTAGCTCCAATAAGTATAGTTCTTACACTGTTTCCCATTTACCTCCACTTTTGTCCCTTTTTAGTATTGTTTTCTCTATGGCTTCTTAGCTATGCTGCTGTTTCTTTTAGTTGTCACCCTGGGTTAAAAATGTTTATTTTTAACATGTTCACACCGGGCCCACAATTCATGTCTCAATGCTGAGAGGCTCTGAACCACCAGTGGTCATGCATGACAGTCCCATTGGGTGGCATGGGACAGCCCCATCTGTTGGTGGAAACTGCTGGATGGGATAGTTATGAATGTTCTCCTAGTGGCTCATGCAAGCGGGACTATGTTAAATTAGCAACAACTACTTAGAATCTGTGTATTAGGACTTCACATAGCCCTACTTCTCTACCTGGAAATTATATACATGTAATTGCATAACAATATCAAAATTCCATTTTCCATCCCCCATCTTCTGTGCTATTTTTAATCTTCTACTTTACTCGTACATATAAATCTGATCTTACAGTATTAAGATTTTTGTTTGATAGTTTTCTTTTGTAAAATTATAAAAAAGTCTTTCTTTCTTTTTTTTTTAATGAGCAGAATATATTTATTGAGAGAAAGAAAGCTCCTGTCCAAGAGAGGGACAGGAGGGGGGCCCGAGTGGGTAGTTCCCCGGGAAGCTGTCTCTTCCAGGGACTTTTATAGTGTAAAACCACGTGGGGCTAAGGTGGAGAGAATGGGAACTTGCTTAGGTGGGCAGGAGGTGGGACAAAACTATGGTCAACCAATGGGATTAAATATGGGACAGGGTCTTTTCCTGTTGGGGGTTGGAATGCGGGACAGGGTCTCTTTCTGTTGGGGTTTGAGCTAGTGACTCACTTGGGTCTTTCCAGGTGATGGATACCTATTTAGAATATCAGTCCCAGGTGCTACTCGTTTAAGTCTTTCATTCTTTACCCATTTTTCTTGTCCACTTCTCTTACTGCCTTCTTGTGGATATGTGCCTCCATCTCATGCCTTTTCCTTCAGCCTACAGAACATCTAGCATTGCTAGAGTCTCTCAGATTTTATCTGGAAGTGTCTTTATTTCACTCCTAATTATTTTTTAAAATATGTTTAGTACAGGGTCTACAGGTTCTCACTATGTAGATCGGACTTGTAGTGATTCTCCTGTTTTCAGCCTCCCAAGTGCTGGGATTACAGGCATGCACCACAACATCCAGTCTCTGTTGCCATCTCAGCATGCCCCAGGGGCAGGGCCGGCATGGCATGCCAGGGAGCACTGTGCTCTGCCTAAGTAGGTGCTTTAGTCTGCTGAGCTATCAGGCCGGTCCTTCACTCCTAATTTTGAAGGATATTTCACTGGATATACTAGAACTTCAAATTGACCATCTTTTTCTTCACCTCTTTAAATATGTTTTTCTGCTGTCTTCTAGTCTCTGCTGTTTCTGAGAGGTAAGTCTTGTCACTACTCTTCTGTACATTTGCAGGGTACATTGCATCTCCAGCTTCTGCTGTGATTTTTTTTGTTTGGTTTCAGCACATCAGCTAGGACATATGCCTAGATGTATCGTATTTATCTCCTGCAGGGTTTGTAAGACTACTCAGTGTAAACCAGGAAAAGTTCAAACATTATTTCTTCAAATAGTATTTCCACCAGATTATCGCCGTCTTCTTTTTGAATATGTGTTATACAAACTTTGGATGATTAGATATTATATTTTTCCTTGAGTCCATTTTTCCTCCAAATTACCCTCACCTACAAATATAAAATTAAACTAAAGCCACAACTACACTATGTATTATTCATATTTATATTATTATATGTTCTGGGACCCTTTGGCTTAAGATTTTCTCATACCTACCCCTAGGTGCCATTTGTCTTGGTTAGGAGCAGATGGCCCTGGGTGAGTGCATTCTCCAGTTTAGGGCTCTGTTGTTCTGCCTGACAGAGCGGGGTGGGTTCTAGACTTGGGCACCTGAGTTCACCTTCTGTCAGGGAACCCAGTCATATGTTGCCTATTGTGTGATGCCTGGGTAAAGTTGTACCTCTTTCCCCATTTCGTGCTTGTTTATGACAAGAGTGTTGACTTAGGACAACGCCCAGAATATACCACCCCAAAGTATACTTCTTTCATAGCCTGAGAAATTGTAGACATGGAAGTAGCTCTGAAAAGGCATGGGTTTTTTAGTTTTGTTTTTAAGACAGGGTTTCTCTGTATAGTTCAGGCTGGCCTTGAATTCACTGTGTAGTCCAGGCTGGCTTGAGACCCCTGGAAGTCCTCCTGCCTCAGCTTCCCAGTGCTGGGACTGTATTTGTGTACCTCTATACCTAGCAAGCTGTGGTTCTATAAAAGCAATTTGCATCTATAAAGGGAATCTACAGTAGTGAAAGTATGTATGTCAGGAAGTAGGCGGCAGCTTATCTGAGAAACTTATCTGCATACAAGAGCATCTTTACTCACCCCACATTTCCTTCTCAAGCTTCTGTGGGCTCCCTCTCTCAGAAGCCCAGGTTGCTGTTCGATTCGTAGCTCAGGTCTCATGTTTTGTGGACTTCCTGGGAGTGGGCCTTAGGTGTGTCAGTAATTAAATATGGTTTTTCTCCTGTTGATTTGTCAGTTTTTTTTTTTTTGGCAGCCTGCACAAAGAACCTAGAACAGTGGAAAGCGAGATGCTATCTCAAAAAGACAAAACAAAATAAAATGTTAGCCAGGTGTGGTGGTGCATACCTGTAATCTCAGCACTCAGAAGGCTGCAGTGGGAAGATCATTGCAAGTTCCAGACCAGCATGGGGTACAAAGTGAACTCAAGGCCAGCCGGAACTACATAGCAAGACCCTGACTAAAAAGACAAAAAAAAGTGGTGGAGAAGAGCCGTTTTTCTCTCCTGTTTGAGCAGTGGCACAGCACCTGCTTGGAAAGTACAAGATTTTGATTCCCAATACAAAAAAAAGTGGTTCTTAATGAGGCTGCAAGCAGAAATTTGAGCTAATTCTTTGTTTTTGTTTTTGTTTTTTTTTTATGTATTTAGTACATATGTATTAGTGGACAGGGTCTCACTGAACAAATCGAACTCACAGTGATCCTCCTGTTTTCAGCCTCCCAAGCACTTGGCTTACAGGCACACGCCACCATGCCATCTCAGTTGCTATCTCAATGTGCAGAGCTGGGGCAGGGCCAGTCCCACACGGGGATCAAACTCTGATCCCTGTGTCTGCCTAAGCAGGTGCTTTAGTCTGCTGTGCTATCTGGCCAACCCTGAGCTGATTCTTAAATAAGAAAAATTCAACTTCATTGCATTGAGTGTTAGAAGTCAACAGGAAGTTTTGTTTTCATTTTCTGCAGTGTTTTATCTGTTAGATATTTGTATGACAATGTCAATTTAGACCTAAGTGAGAATTTTAGCTTAAATATTGATGAACGGTTTGATAATACTGTCTTCCTCTCCTTTCTTTAATCTCAGGCTCTCACAATGTAGTCTCAGCTGGCCTTGAACTTACAGTCCTCTTGCTAAGCCTCCTAAACATTGGTACAGGCATGTGCCTGCCACTGAGCCTGGCTTGATAATAACATGTTCTTATGTATTGAGTTCACGAAAGCTTTTCTTAAATAAAAATCTATACTTTTAATTTTTTCGGTAGAGAATTCAGAAAAAAAAGAAGACATCTCCTGGGAAAAGGAAGAAAGCAAAAAGTAAACCCGTAGACCCAGGTACAAGATGATATTTTATACTTTGACTTAGGGATTTCCTGAGAAAAAATTTATTATTTGTTAAAGTTCTAAATTGTAAGTTTGTACAATTGCCGCTTCTAAAAAGTAACATCTGACTTTGGAGCGACATTGTTTTCCAATGTTATGAAAAATTTCTACACACAAGTCTGAAAGAATATTATAGTATATATTTATATACCTACCACTTAAATTTTACTTTATATTTTATTATACTTGCTATCACTTTCTGTCCATTATCCCACTTAACAGTTTGCCTCAAGCATTACTTGGGGAGCCCTTTTGTTTCTGCACTGACTTTACTGAGAATGCCTTGGGCAATGTCATTTCTTGAGCTGAATAAATTTAATAAAATTGTCATCTTTACATTTGTTATATTGTAAAAATTAATGAAAAAAAGTTCAATTTTTGGCCATCTGCATTGAAGTAATTGGTAAGTGGTTAGTATACTTCATTGTTTAAAACGTTTTTAAAATAAACAGATGTCAGTATACTTCTTCTGAAAATACTTAGGTCATACATCATTAACTTGACAGAGTTTAGTGTTTGTTTACATTTGTTTTTGTTAATACAAAATACTGATACAATGAAATGCCTGGGTCTCAGGTGTGTAGTCACTTGAATTTTGAAAATGCAATTATATGTGTAACTCAAAACACTATGAAAATCTAAACACTTCCCATCACCCCAGAAAGTTTCACTGGGCCTCAGTCAGTCCTCACTTGCACACCCCCAGAGGCAATTTCTTTGGAAAATCTTTTTTCTACCATAGGTTAATTTGAACATTCTGTAGTTTCATGTTGATGGCACGCACATTTTGTTCCCTGGAGATTCATCCACACTGTTTGGAGTCATTTTTACTGCTGAGTAGTATTCCAGTGCATGACTATATCACATTTTATCCAGTCTTTTATTGATGGATAAGTGAGTTGTTTTCAGGTTTTGGCTATCAATAAAGCCACTGTGAACCTTTTCATACATGTGTTTTGCAAACATGTTTTTATTTGTATTGGGCAAGTATAAAGAATATATTTGTTGAATTATAGGATAGGTGTATGATTAAAAGAAACTGTCAAACTTTAGAGACTGTTTTTCCCAAAGCAGTTGTGTAATTCATAAGCTATAATTTGATATGTTACTAAGAGTATAGAAAATAACTTCATAGTAATTTTAAAGTGGGCGGGGGGGGGAATAAATGGGTGAAAAAGAGAACCTCTACATTGTAACACATAATATCTAAAAAAATACAAGGCTAATAAAACATTTAAATAAAAATCTAGAATACTTACATAAGTATTAAATTTGATTATTTTTTATGAAAATAGACTACTCAAAATCCTCCTTTTTTGTATATGTGTGTAACAGACATTTAAGGAACAGCTAATTCTAGCCTGTGAACAATGACACAAAAGATAAATCAGATAAACCTGTGTGGGTGGAAATTTGATAAAATGGTATTTGCTGGTCATGTCTTCCCTATGGAAAGGAAACAACTTCTATGACACAGCACACAGATAAAAAGTCGTTCTTGAATGTAATGAGTCAACTCACGTTTTAGATTATAAATGTAAATCTTGTGCTTTCTGTTGTAAATGTATACTCACCACTGTTCTAAGTTGTTTAGTAACTAGTGGCTGTTTCTTGCTCTTTGCTAAGATAAAATTCCTGTAACCCTCACCAATTCCTGTTACCAAAGTTGGCTTACAGAGATGACTTCAAAAGGAAATTAGATGGGCTTTAACTTCTTATAACCTCGGGCTATGCAAGGCTGCCTGCAGGTACTCAGGTGCAAATTAACCAGAAACTGAAACAAAAGCCCCAGAAATGTAGTTTGAGTTGTGGTGCCAATCACTCTGAAAGCATTATTTTGTGTCAGACAATGAATTTCTTTACCAAACTGAATGTGGTCATTCAATGAATTTACTTATCAAACTCAATGTGGTTCCAGGGTATAAAACCCCTTCCTGCTTCCTGGGCCGCCGCCTTTCGGTCCTCTCCTGCGTGAGAGCAGACTGGGGGGCCCTGAGCTCAGTAATAAACGGCTTTCCAAATTAAAAAAAAAAAAAAAAAAAAAGTCGTTCTAAATGAATTAAAGATGTAAACATGAAAGGTAAAAATGGAGAATTTTTAGAGAAGATATGAATTTATTACTGTGAGTTGAGAGGTTTTCTTAAACAAGACACAAAAATCTTAGTAAGTGTGACTTCGTTAAACCTAAGAACTTTTATCAGCAGACCACAAGGGAAGGCGCTGGATGCAAAATGAGCTGAAGACACTGAAACGCATGATAGCCTAATAGAAATATGAGCAGATAACAGCAGATTTTCCAGAATAGTAAACATAATAAAATAAAAATTTAAAGAGGGTCCAGCTCTGCATTACCTTTCTATTACTGTAACAAAATATCTAAAATAATCAACTTACAGTATAAGAGAAAAGGTTTATTTTGGCTCACAGTTCTGGCCTGTTTCAGTTCGTGTCAGTTGGCTCCTTGGGTGAGTGGTAAGGCCATACATCATGGTGGCAGCACGGGACAGGTGGAACTGCTCAGCTCCTGCCAGGCAGCAAGAGACAAGGAGCAAAGGGGCAGGATACTACAGTCCTCTCCGGGTGACCTCGCATGACTTGTAGACTGACTGTGAGGCCCCACTGAGTTCTGCCACCCAACTGAGTTCTGCTGTTAATACATGTGGAACATTCAGCTGAAACTGTATCAATTACTAATTACAGAAATCTAAATTGCAGCTATAATGAAACACCCTTTTGTACCTACTAGACTGGTAAATATTTGGTTTTTCAGTTCCATACTATTTAACAAGATTATCCTCAGTGGAAATCCTTAAACCAGTATAGTCACAAAGAGATATAATTACTTTGATAATCATTTCATCCACCCTCTGATAATGTTGAAAATGGGCAAACACTGAAAACCTAGTAGTCACCCGTGAGCGTATTTACTAGAAAATCTGATACACGTCCATAAAACATATATTTATGTTAGCAAATGTTAGCAAAACCTGTTACAGTAAAATTGATAATTGTGGTATATTTATGCCCTGGAATAGAATACAAAAGTTGAATATTCACTTTCATGTCAATGTAATATGGTCAAAAACATGCAAAACTACATTGGTTAGGATTATATTCATGAGCAGAAAAGTTATTATGGTACCCACAAACTTCTGAATGGTGATTACCAACGTGGTGGGCAGGGGATATATTTGAGGAGGGCAATTCAAGGTACTTTAGTGTCTGTTAATGTTTGCATTAAGCTGTAGTGTCGCCCCATGGGCATCGTTTTTATTCATCTTTGTTTCTCTCACACATAAATGTTATTGTGTATAGAAAATAAAGCATAATAAAGATTGTTATGCTAAAATGAAAAAGGTTAAGTTAAAGAATAAGTTGTAAATAATGGTTCTTGAGCTTTAAAAAAAAAATCTTCATTAGCCTTGAGAGTGTAAGGAAGAATTCATGTGGAGGTATTATTTTCTAAAAGCCAGACTATTTTTTACATATTATCTGTTTCTTTAAGATTCCTTGTACGCTGAAATTAGGTAGGGATTTGTGAACCAAGAGGATGGTGGCTGAATTGGGGTTGGCAGCGTTGTGGATCTGGTCTGTAAACATTACCAGAGTACCAATTTGTGCTCCTATTATATCTGTTTTTATAAATCAGTAGCAACTAAAACAATGGAATGTTTGCTGTGTGCCAGTCATCACAATGAGCGTTTAATATCACTCTCACTTTCAATCCTCAGTTGTGAAGTATAGATGGTATGCTTTTTCCTATTTTTATAGATTTTAAAAAAATGAGACTTAGACCAGAAAACCTGTCTGATCTTGCAGTATTAAGTGTGCTCAGCTACTACGTTGAGTACCTATTAATGCATAGGAAACTATCACAAAACTTAGTGGTTTGAAATTATAGTCAGAAAAATATGCTCTATGGATAGTTAGGCTTTTGCCTATTGTTGAAAATAAACTTTTATTGGTATACAGGTAGATTCTTTTTTAGGTGTGATTCTAGATCCTTTTGTACTACATTTCAATAGTAGTTAGTTAATTTCAATAGTAGGTTAAATAGCTGGGCCATAAGGCCAACCATGTTTACTGTCTGGCACCTGTAGAAGTCTGCTGCCTGCTAATTTGCAGTCATCACTGTCTTTATTTCCCTAAGCTCGGGGTTGGGCAGTTTTGCTCGTTCCGTGGCTGCTCCCAGGCAGAAGCTGTGAAAAGTGGCTGGTGCCTTGAGTGCTGCACACAATCTTTTTTTTTTTTTTCTTCATGTGGTGAGCTTGGGCTCTCCTGTTGTTTGGTATATAGTGTTATTATATATTAGTACAGCTTTTCAAATTAATGCACTGAATATTCTTAGTGCATTTATACATGACCCGTTTTTTGGACAGTTATTTAGCAAATACAGTGATGATGGGGACTTATCACCAGTTGTGTCAGATAACAACAGATGAATAAGGCACAGCACGGTATTCAGGAGTCCCGATGCTTTGGCAGCAGTTTGTGACAGTAAAGGTAGACGTTTGGGGACTGAATACAGCTCCCGTAGGATTTTCAGCAGTTGCCATCATAAGTAGTTTTTGTTTCAGGCTTCCAGAACTGTTAACTGAGAACCAAATTGTGAATGATCAACATATTAAATTGAGCTTTCTTAATATTCTAGATATTTCTGATAGTATGCATATTTGGTGTCTAGAAGGAAAGAAAACCAGTGACATCATGGAGTTGGATATTATTTTGTCTGCAGTTGAGAAAACTCTCCTAGAGTATAAGTAAGTCTTCTGATGTTGTGATTCATGGATCTGATAAATTTCCCTTGAGGCACCACTTTTGCTTATCCTACAGTATTTAATATATAATATTTTTGTTATTGTTATGGTTTAGATAATTTTACATTTCCATAATACCCAGGATACATATATTAGACTAATTTCAAATTATTGGATCATCCATTCTAACCTGTTTCTGATAGACTGATCTTGCTTGTATTTTCCTTTTGAAATAGTGGTTTTCCTGCAGGGTTATTGGTTCTGCTGTTGAGCTTGTTTTCCTCAGGGCTGTCAGGTTCTTGGTCCCAGTCAGCTCCCCTGAGAGGGATGGAGTTGGACAAGCCCTGGGCTGGGAGTCTTCATTGCTTATCCACAGAAGGCTCATCCACTCCACTTCCACACCCTCCAGAGGAAGGGAGGCAGCACCAGGAGGCAGTCATTCTCTAGGCTGGGGATTTGACAGAGACCTGTGAGAAAGGAAACAGCTTCCCCCAACTGGTCTCCACCTGTTTTTCTCCAGGCAGGGTAATCACAGCCTAGTTGTATTCTCTCCTTTCCCTCTCTGCCACTCTCCTCCCCTCTTCTCCCCACAGTAAATCCTGAAAGTACAAAACAACACAGAGTTGTTTTTGGAAGGGTGGCCTGACAATGTGAGCTGAAGGATGGGACCAGCCGGCCACACCCTGAAAGCTGCTGGTTTTCCCAGAGCGCCATCCTGGTGCTGGCAGCCAGCAAGGGCCTAAGCAGGAGCACCGCAGTCATGAGTCAGAGGAGGAAGGAGCCAGCAGCTCTAGAGATGACAGCATGAAGCAGGCAGGCAGAGGCTATACCACAGTGCCTGGGTGACCACAGGGTGGAAAAAAGCAGGAAACAAGGATAAAGGAAGAAGTCCTCTGAGCCACTTGGCATTTAAACCAGGAATGTTCTTCACTTCTGCTCCAAGGCTGAGTTTGGACTTCTCACAGTGCTCTGGGGATTTGTCTGCCACCTGCCTGCAACAAGGCTGCCATCCACAGCTAGGGGCATCATGAAAATTTAGAAAGGCTGAACTTGCTTTTTAGAAGGAACTGCACATAACCTACATTTGAGGCCCCTCCACCAGTATCATATCTTGGACTTTATTTTCAGGGGATTCTGAGGCAGCTGTGGAGAAGAGCCAGGAAGGCCTGGCACAGTGCTCTGTGCAGCTCCAGAGCAATCAGAGGGCAAAACCCTCAGTAGTGCTATAGAACGTGCTGGCAGGTGCTGAACACCTGTGTCCCACCAACTTTGGTCAACCCACTCCTGTCCTGAGTCTAATCCCCTTGCTCTCATCTCTCTGCTGTGGCTTCCCCCGAAGGCTTTGGGGCAGAATGCTGTCATCCAGGATATTCTGTGTTTCCATCACCAGTGAAATTACATTCAGTCTCATTTGGAGTAGTTTTGTTAGCCATTCTGATAGGTGTGAAATATAGGGGTGTTCTCTTACTGTGGCAAAAACAAAGTGTGCCATGAAGCATTTTTAAATGTTTAGTTTGGCATCTTCTCGTGTAGCACAGCTCTAGAACTTACTCATTTTGGACAGATGAAGCTCTGTACCCATTAAATAGTTCTCCATTTCCTCCTCCCCCGCAGTGATCACTGTCCTGCTTTCTGTGTATAAATCTGATCACTGTAGGTGTCTCATGTAAGTGGAGTCATGTATTGTTTGTCCTTTTGTGGCTGACTTGTTGCCTTTAGCAGTCTCCTTGGGCCACATCCACATTGTAGCTTGGATCAGAATTACTCCTAGTTTTGGGGCAAGTAGTATTCTGTCATGCGCATACCACATTTTCTTTGTCCATCAATGAACACTTGAATTCTTCTCACTTTTTGACTACTGTGGGCATTACTGTGGACATCGGTGCACAAATAGTCCCTGTTTTCAGTTCTTGTGATCATATACCCAGGAATGGAATTGTGGGGCCATATAATTCTGTATTTAACATGTACACAATGGGGCTGTGATCTTTAAGTTTCCCTGCTGAGCTTGAGCCAACAGTGGCACATTCATGATTGTCCCATCTAGGACGGCTTTTTATTAGTTTTACTAATTAGAAAGTCCACCAAAAGTGATTAGGTTCATTTGTACCACCAGTGGTACAGGCTGCCCCAAGGTAGAGTCGTGGATGTACAATCAGTGGTTCATGCTGGTGGGAATGTGTTAATATTTTTGAAGAACTGCCACAGTTTTTTGCTGAACTGTACCACTTTACCTTTACTGCTGTCAGTACACAGAACTCTCAATTCTACATTTTTGCTAACATTTTCTGATTTTTATATATAATTGCCATCCCAGTAGGTATAAAGTTGTATTGTGGCTTTCATTTGCATTTCCTTTATGATTAGTGTGATTCTCATATTCATGGTGGTCATTTGTATATTTTAATTGAAGAAATACCTGTTCATGTTCTTTTTCCATTTTTGAATTGGATTCTTGAGGGGAGGCTGAAATGTTGAAGTTTTACATATATTCTGGATATTATCCCTTTGTTAGGTATATAGTTTTACAAATATTTTCTCCCCTTCTGTGAGTTGCCTTTTCATTGCCTTGTTTCCTTTGTGCAGTTTTTAAATGTGATGTAATTCTGTTTGTCTATATATGCTTTTGTTCCCTTTGCTTTTGATATGTAAGAAATTATCACCAAGTCCAATGTCTTGAAGCTTTCTCCTATGTTGTACTGTAAGAATTTTAGTTTCAGGTCTTCATAGCAGTACTTAACCTATATTGAATTGGCTTTTGTATATGGTGCATACAAGATAAAGACCCAGCTTTATTCTTCTGCATATATTTATTTTTGCCAACACAGTTCGTTGAAGAGACTACCATTGTCCAATATATAGCTTTGGCACCCTTGGAAAAATCATAAATATGTGTTTGTTCCTAGGTTCAGTATTGTGTTTTGGTCTTACAAATCTGTCTTTGCCAGCACCATCCTGTTTGGATAGTATTAGGCCTCCAGCTTTGTTTTTCTTTTCCAAGATCATGTTTGGTTATTTGAGATCCTCAGATAATTCATGAGTTTTAGGATTCTTTTTTCTATTACTGTAAAAACTGCCATTGGAATTTTCATAGGGATTTCATTCAACCTGTGGATTGTTTTGGGTAGGGTGGACATTTTAACATTAAGTCTTCCAATCCATGAGCATGAATGTCATTTGTATCTTCTTCAGTTCTTCCACCAACACTGGCCTTCTGGGTTTGTTTGTTGTTTGTATAGTCACCAGCTTAATGGGTATAAAGTAGTAGTACAGTTTTGGTTTTCATTTACTCATGATTAGTATTATGGAACATCTTTTCATGTGCACTATAATCATTCATATATCTTTTTGGAGAAGATGGGCAATATAGGTGAAGAGATAATAAATTCTAAGGAAGAATCAAAAAGAATGTGACAGATTAAAAAAAACTGTAAAAATTCAAACATCAAAATGATTGAATCTATAATATGTTTTGGATTTCAGTATGTTTTAGATTTTGGAATATTTACACAGATTTTACTGATTCAGCTCCCCTTATGCAAAAAATAACATCTGAAATGCATAAGCTTAATGAGTATATGTAGACTAAGAATGCACATTCTTCTCAAGATCTTACAAAACATTTACTAAAACAGACCACATTCAATAGAACACTCCTTACCTAATGTAAAGTGGAAATCATATGTCTACCTTCAGGCCATCATGGAATTAAATTAGAAATCAGTAACAGAAAGATACCTAGAGGATCTAAAAACACTTGGAGATTATATGATCTACTTCTTAAGAACATATGGGTCAAAGAAGAAATTATAAGAGAAATTTAAAAATATTTTTGCATAAGGTGAAAATGAAAACAGAGCTTATCAAATTTTGAGGGATACAACAAAAACAATGTGCCAGTCACCTAAGTTTTCACTTTAGAACTAGGAAAAGCAAAATACTTCTAGTGTAACCAGAAGTCTAGCTCAGCGGTCTAATTGCCTGCCTCGGCAAACTCAAGGACCCAGGTTCGATTCCTGGTGTGCCGGCCTGCCCGAGCATGTGGAGCCAGCCACTGAAACTGGGCTTGGAGGCGCATGCCTGTAATTCCTGGGCTGTGAAGGCTGAAACAGGAGTCTCACTACAAGTCCAAGCTGCATAGTGAGACCCTGTACCAAGTAAACAATAATAATAATAATAATAATAATAATAAGAGTAGAAATGAGTGAAATTGAAAACAAGAACTCAGTAGGAAAAAATCTACAGCATCAAAGCTGGTTCTTTGGAAATATCAATAAAAATAAGCCTCTAGCCAACCTAAAAGCACAATTTAATATCAGAAATGAAAGAGACATTATTATACATTGGTGAACTGCATGAATAGTAAAAGGATACTAAAGAAATACTGAAAAAACTTTATGCCTACAAGTTTGATAATTGCAGTGAAATGGACGAATTCCTTGAAAGACAATTTGGCACAAGTAAAAAGAAAAGGAAAAAAAAATAGATTTATGTGTATGAAACTATATCTGTTTCTAAAAACCTAACTATTCCACAAACAGAAATCATTAGACCCAGATATGTTCACTGGTGAATTCTACCAAATATTTAAGAAAGAAACTATACTAGTTCTCTGCAAAATTTCAGAAAATAGAGAACAGAAGGAATAGCTTGAAACTCATTCTTTAAGGCCAGCATTATCGTAGTAACAAAATTGAAGACACAGGAATACAGCAGACCACTGTCTCTCAGGAAAATGAATGCAAAACTTCTTTAAAAATATTAGTAGATTGAATTGAACAATGTATAAAAGAGAATTACACAGAACAACTAAGTGGAATTTATCCAAGGTATGCAAGCCTAATACAAGTTTAGAAAATAATCACATTGAGAGGCTGTGGAAGAAAAAAGTGATCATAATCATAGACACAGGAAAAACATTTGACAAAATTCGATACCCATTAATGATAAATACACCTTAGTAAAATTAGGAATGGGGGTAACTTCTCTAACTTGATAAAAATGTTTATAAAATTAACTTCTTACTTAGTGATGAGAAACTAGAAGCCTTCTCAGTAAGACCAGGAAGAAGACAAGGATGTCCTGTCATCAGGCTCCCTTTTTTTAAAAAAAAAATTGGGATTGAGCCCATGGCCATTTTCCTTTGGTTAGCTTTCTAGTTGTGAGGACGTGGACAGCCAACTGTGGCCACCTACTCCTTGGTTAGTTCAGGTGTGTTACACAGTCATTCTTCCCATTGCTGTCAGGCAAGGAGGGAATAAGATCTGCTCAGGTGGCTCAGGTGGTGGGGAAAGACTGGGATTGGTGTCACTTGTGGCCTTGGCCAACATCAGAATTAAGATGGCTGGTACCAAAAGGCTGAGGAAGAAAATGTTTGAGCCATGTTCTCAGTATTATTTTAAGCTTAAGTAAGGGTTGCAACCTAAACATTGCCATCTTAGATACTTAAAATGCCGTGTGCCAAACTGTGCTTATGTGCTATGCAAATACATCTTTTAAAATCTTTTATAATACCTCATTTGGGGTTTTGTTTGTTTACCCCTTTACAGACCAAAAATAGAATCTAAAGTTTGTATGGAAGCCATCGACAAATTTTATTGTAATATTAGAGAAGAACTCATCAAAACGGTAAGCCCAATGAAATAAACGTGTTAGCCTACATTTTTGAAACTAATCCTGAGGCAGCACAGTGTTGTCTGAGAACAGCTTGCATTTGCGGGAGATATGGTGATAAAGGCATTAGAGCTACATATATTGCATGTGCTGCTTTAAAACTAAATGTGTGTATGTGAAGCTAATACTGAATTTGGAAAATATATGAATTTATTTTTTGTTTTGTGTAGCTCAAAGAAGTCCAGATGTTGAAAAATCTGAAAAGGAAGAATGCAAAGGTAAACAGTAGTTGATTAAAATCATACAGTTGCACAGTGCTAACATATTTGACTTTGGGTTTTATAACCTTTAGAGTTATAAAGTTTTTCTTAGGTTGATATTTTGATTAGATAATATTAATACAAGTTAAGCAACGGGGATGTCTCAGTCAACCTTCTATCACCAAAGAAATACCCAAGATAAACTTGAAAGAAAAATGTATTTTGGCTCTCAGTTTTGAAGGTTCCTGTCTGTGATTTTTTGACCTTGTTGCATGGCAGCAATGGTGGCAGGAGCATTTGACAGAACAAAACTGCTTACTATTGTGAGCTACAAGGCCAGAGAACAAGGAGGGTGGGCGTCCCAGTCTCCATTAGGATCACAGCCTTAATGATTTAAAGACCCACAGCTAGTGTACTTCCACTGTCTTTTTTCTCTACACTTCTAATACCAGGAACAATGTACATGGTTCACACAAACTTAACAAGACAATTATTGTATTACCTAGATGATTTCTGATACGGAAAAGAGAAGGCGGCGTTTGATTGAAGTCCAAGATGAATTGCTTCGGTAAGATAGTAACAGAATCCTGTTTGAGAACTTACCTAAAAGGGCAGTAGTGTGGCATGTGGGAGAGTGATATTTGCTGGTATGTCACATTAAAATCCCCAGCATTTTGAGGTTGGACGTTCAGTGGAGCCAGGTTATGCTGCCTAGTTGCCAAACTTTTCAGCAAAGGATAACAGCACTAATCCACCTCCCAGCTCCTCTGTTCTAGCCTCAGACAGTCTCATTAGAGATGTAAATCAAACTGCCTGTGTTTGAATCCAGGCTCTGCCACTTTCTGGTGGTGCAGCCATGGACAGGTTACTTCCCCAATGCCTCAGCTTCCCTTTTCTATATGGCAGCTTCTCATTTATTGTTGGCCCTTAAAATCTGTTAGCTCTTTTATTTTATAGGTGAAGAAACTAAGCCACTTTCACTAAGAGGTGAGACAGTTCACCAAGTCACATTTTTTTATTCCAGACCCTGTGATAGTTTTTCCATTGGTTGTTATTAGACCTCGGAAAGTGGACAGTTTTTTGTTTTTGTTTTGGTCCTGGGAATTGAACTCAGGACTGTGTACTTGCCAGGCAGGCACTTATGCAACTAAGCTGTCTTGAAGGACAGTTTTGGAGGAAAATGTGTCCAGTTTGCTGTTGAATAGCAATGCCTGAGAGCTATAACATGTAACCAAGTTTATCATTTCATTCAGTAGTTTCCAAGATGTGCATGATTTGGTAGGTTTAGCATTAAGGCATATTCTGTGGGTTTCACTGCTATTTGTTCATCAGACTTTTGAAACTTAGACTCTCATTACTCATAATTTAATAGAGATAAATCATCTAGTGTGCCTCCTTGGTTTTTATAATTCATTCAGTATACTTATGTACTCACTCTTACACACTGTGGAACTTAATTTCATTTATTTTGGGGAAAAAAAATACCAATTTTTATTCTAGGTTAGAACCACAGCTGAAACAACTACAAACAAAATATGATGAACTTAAGGACAGAAAGTCATCTCTTAGGAATGCCATGTGTTTCTTATCTAATTTAAAACAGCTTTATCAAGATTATTCAGATGTTCAAGAGAAAGAACCAAATGTAACGGAAGTGGTAAGTTTGATTTTTACTTTATATTGTGCTTCAGACTGTAGAGGACATGTGCATGCTAGAGTACTGGAAGATTTGACGAAAGACAAAGGAATAATCATCACTATTAAATCACTGAAATTTTACTGTTTAATCACCTTTTCTAGTTACTTAAGGCTAGAGGAGTGGAAAAAATCCAGAATCACTGATTTTTTTAAAAAGGCATTTATACTTCAGCTAACTGAATCCTATCTGTTCAAGGAACAGTACGTACCCATGGGTATATAAGGGAAGTGTACACTCTTATGTACAAATCAGCTGAACAACCATGCTCTGCTTTGTTATAATTTTCATCACTATAGATCACCCAGACATGTTCAAATGAAGAAATTTTATTATCATATGGGGGTAGTCCTAGTCTTCTCAATTTTCATTACTTAAAAAATTGCCTTGAAAACATGGTATTCAACAGCAAACTACCAAATATGATAAAATTCTATAAAAGGAATTTAATCACCTTTAGGTACAGTTTGGAATAGAAAAGCTTGTTTTTGTTAATTCTTTCAAAATCATGAGTTAGACCTGTGTCCTAGTCTATATTGGGTTTGTGTTATTTAAAAATTTCTTTTCTTTCTTTATTTGGCACAAGGTTTTACTACGCAGCTCAGACGCATAGAGATCCTCCTGTTTCAGCCTCCCCAGCACTGGGATCATAGGCGTGTGCCACTAAGCCCGGTTTCAGGGCCGGCAGAGTGTGCCCAGAGTTCCAGAGCCAGAATGGCATGTGGTACTGGGGATTCAACCCCGGACCTTGCATTTGCCAGGCAGGCACTTAAGAACGCTGATTTATCTCCCCAGCTTGGTTTATTTTTAATCACTAAGAACATTTGAATTGGCAACCTTGACCCTCCAATACTTTTTCTAGATGATAGACCTGGGAATTTTTATGATGAACTTTCATAAACCAAGTGTTTTCATTTTGTCAGTCATTGGAGTAACAGTAAACATGACTGGCAATTTTTTGTTTTAAAATAGCCATGAGATCAAGCAGACCCCACATAGCACTAGCACATTTGCCCAAACCAAGTCTCGACCTGTCCTAAGCATGATCTTCTGCTTTAAATAACTCACATGCCAATGTTTTTGAGCCATCTAGTTTTCTGGAATAAGGAGTCAGTGCAAGCTTTATATTATTAATTATGTCCAAAGGAAATTAAACCAGCTTTCTTAATAATTCAAAAGTGAAAATACTGAGTTCAATCCCCGGTTCCGCAAAAAAAAAAAAAAAAAGTGAAAACAGTAGTAACAGAAAGTGCTAACAAAATTAGCATCAGTCATAAGCTTAAGGTATACAATGAGATGTTGCTATTTGTGAATCTGAATAATTTTCTTTCATCAACAGTATGATTCATCCAGCCTTCCAGCTCTGTTATTTAAAGCAAGAACCCTTTTGGGAGCTGAATATCATTTTCAAAATATTAACCATCAACTAGAGAAGCTCCTTGACCAGAAATGAGAAAAGCTATCTACTGAAATGTGCCCACATGAAGATGTCTCAGGCTATTATCCATTACTTTCTGAAACTTAACTTCTGTAAATAAAAAATCTTTCTCAAAAATAAGTATGGCTCAGTCACCAGATTTAGTATTACCTTGATATTCAAATTAAACTGTACCAGTTTGATGGTCTTAATAACATTGTAGGCTGTCTTTTCTGATTAGTGTCTTAATAAATACTAACATGTTGATATCCTAATCAGCCTCAGAAATAAACTTGTAAACTTATAATAAGGTTTCTATTGAATTTAAGTACACTAATGCCAACTTTCAATAAAGCTAGTATATTTAGGTGAAAAAACAAAGTGGTAAAACTTAGTTGCTATAGACTGGTTTAATAATAATTTAATTTGTGTATGTATGGTGGTGCTGGGGACTGAACCAGGCTTTGTATACACTACGTAGGTGCTCTACCACTGAGCCATACCCCAGCCCTAATATAATTTCTGTTACCAAATCTCATAGATTTGAGGCAAATTATATCCTGTTTCCTAAAGTGCTGTCGATACTGAGCTACTCTCGCAGTACTTCTATAATGAGTTCATCAGGAATTTCATTCCCTGCACTGCTGTAACTGAGAAGATGGTTCTCTGCTACTTCAGCTAATTCAGCATCCTCAGTGGCTTCCAAGAAGTATGTGTCATCAATGCTGTTATCCCAGTTAGGCTCAGAAGAGGCACCTGTACTCTTGACTTCACTGTTGCGAGTTTCATCTGCTGTAAACTCTTCTTCCTTTTTTTCATTGGGGAAGGGTGGTGGAGGGATAGGTAGTGGGACAGGAAAAATAGATTAGTTAGAACCTGTGAAGTATATTGAATTAAGGCGTAAAGTAATGACCAGTTCTTCAGCAGAATAAAATAAAGGTGCTAGAGACATACAGTCTGCCAGGTAGTCACTATGGGGGTGTGTATACTAGCTCCAAGGTTGCTACTTTATAGCTCACTCTTTAAATTGCCTGTGGTTCTTACGGAGTTAGAACAAAATAAACTTCACGTTTTGACGAGTACTCTAACTGGAATCATTGGAAAATACCTTTGCTATCCTGACAACCAACCTTTCCCTCTACTGTATAAAGTATTTTTAAAATTATAGACATGGATTAGAAATATTGTTACCAAGAACTGTTTTGCTACAATTTTCAAAATATGACTGGATTGTACATTAGACAATTTAAATACCCCAAATGTAATAACTTAAATTTAATAATTTTACCATTCTTATTTAACAATGTCTTTATTCTTCAGCTACATGCTTAATTACTGAGATAAAAAGTTATGTAAACAACTTATTCCCAAGAAATAAACCAAAAATGCCACTTCCTGTGTGTGCATCATGAAAGCAAACAAATGTGGCCAGGTGTTAACATATCAAATCCAGGTAGAGGACAAACCAGAGTTCTTTATTCTCAGGTAATACTTTTGCATCTTTTCAAGTCAAGTTTTTAATCAAGATGATCAATGCAATAGAAAAAGTAATAAATAATGGTAACTGATACTTTAGTTTAAAATATTTTAAAAAGATGAAACAAATGACAAAATTTTCAGTTAAAAATAAGTGTTATGTACATTCACTGTTCATTCAATTTACAATTTTAAATAAGTTTCTCTTCACTGAGTATACTTTCAAGTTGGCACTTTTGAGGTAATACTCAATACACAGAGAATATAACGTTTAGAAAGGCACTAACATCTGAGCAGGGAGATAGCACATGCCTAAAATCCCAATGCTTGGTAGGCTGAGGCAGGAGAACTGCTGTGAGCTCATTGCCAACCTGAACTAGATGGCAAGCCTGCCCCCCAAAACAGCAAATCCACCAAACCCAGAATCATCACAATAACACTAACCAGTGATGACACATTTCTTCTTTTAAGAGACAAGTAATTTTTAGAATTTTACTGTGTTCTTAGTTATCTCTCAACACTTTTTAACCTAGTAGCTTTCAGTGAATCTATCAGTTATTTTATGTTCTACTCATTAAGAAAGAGTTTTCCACCATTTTAAAGCTGGATGTATTTTTTTTCTTTTTAATAATTGTATTGAGAAACAAATATCAATGAGACAGTTTCACAACTGATTACTGGCACATTTTCAATAATTAATACATTGCATGTTGTTGTCTTAGTGGTTATTCACTGTACAAGATGCAGACATGATAGCCTGTCTCACACTGTTATAACCTCTATTCATTGAATTAAGAGAATGGAGCTGTACATCTATCCTAACTATTTTGAGTATACAGATACAAAAGGGTCATTCATTTCTATCCCACTTTGGTTTTTTTTTTTTTTTTTTTTTTTCAGGAGTTGTTTCTAAATTTGAGGTGAATATAGTAAGTGAGTTGTCTACAATAGAAACTGCAAGCATTCAGCTTGCAGCTGGTAACTTAAAATACTATAAAAGATGTTTATGTATGTAACAAAAATTAGTCTTAAAAACAGTTCAGTATGACAGACTCAAAATATTATTGCAAAATACTAATCAGATATCACACAGAAATGGACAAAGTGTAGCATGGCAATTCATAACAGAAATACAAACATACTGGAAATAGTTCAACTTTTTTAAGAAATGCAATTAAAACAGTGAAAACCCATCTACATACCAGTTTGGTAGAGACCACAAAGAAAACAGCAGTGCTGGCGAAAGTGGACAGCAAGAGTGCGCTCCACTACCCGGAAATTACTATCCTGTCATTTTTATGGAGGGGAGTTTGGTAATAGTTACTACTGAAGATATTTGTGATACCTTATGTGGAAAAATCTTATGTGACTTCTAAAAACTATAAACATATATAGATATAAATTCTGGAAGATCTTTGCTAAAACATACCAGTTTCATTGAATTATAAATGGGGAAGATTTTTCTCCTTTTGTGCTTTACATGTAGTTTATATTTTTCAGTGCTTAGTTTAGATAAATAAAAGTTTCTCAAAGAAGAGTTAAGTGTTAGTTTGGTAATAGGGTAATATCTACCAAAATTAAAACACTGACACAATTCTAGAAGTTCATCCTAGAGACAGTTGTTTAAACAAACACAAAGTCAGGCACTTCGTTATACTTCATAAGTAATTCATAGCTTACATACATGCTGCACCACGAACTAACCAGTCATGACAAAGATAAAAAGCTGCACTGACCTCTTTGAAAAGAAACAGGAGACTTACTTCAGCAGGTAATGGAAAACCTGAATGACAAGATATAAAACTGTATTATACAGATATCCAATTTTTAGTTAGTGGTAAGTGTATGAATTTGTAACTCACAGTCAGACTTGAAGTTTTCGGCTTTACAAACAGGATCATGACATTTTTGATACCAAACTTCATGTTTCAGATCAACAAGAATCCTTCAAGTTAAAAACAAAAAAAGTCCATACAGACTAGGAAAAAAATTCAGTTATATACTATTTACAAGCCATAAAGATAGAGAAAAATTAAAAAATAAAAGGACAAAAGTAGATATACACTAATCAAAAGAAAACTACTTGCTAGAAAGAGCACACAAAATGGACTTTCAGGCAAAAAGCTACTGGCACAAGTCTCCCACTTAACCCCTCCCCAGAAAAAAACAATTTTCAACTTGTAATCACCAGACAATACAGTGTCAAGTCATGTAAGCAAAAGTGGGATCTATAAGGATAAACTAATCCGCCTGCAAAAATAATTAGCATAAATCAAGATTTTAAGAAACATTTTATTGGTAATTCATAAGTCAACCACAAAAAAGTTCAAGAGTGCAGATAATATGAATGAAGCAACATAAAAGCCAATAATGAAATCTGTTCTATATACATATGAAGCAGCTCTTTGTAAACCAGTAAGAAAAATTGACTATATAAAGTGAACTATTTAAAATTCAAAATTAGCAATTTTTATGGGTAACATATTCTCTGACCACAAGGAAAATTTTACGAGTAAAAAGATAGCTAATAGAAACCCATAATTTGGAAATTTAAAAATTTCTAAATAGTGACTTAATATTTATGGAAGTCAAATTATATGAATGTAAAAATAATATCTATTAAATTATGTTAAATGTTGCTCAAGTGATCTGTAGAGTTCATGTTACAAAAGAATGGGCTAAAGATGAATGAATTAAATAACTTGGAAAATGAGCAACAGAATAAACCTTAATGAAATAAAAGACAGGAAGTAACAAACAGTGAAAACTTAAAGCCAAAATCTGAAGACAAATTATTGTAAGATTAAACAAAAAAAGCAGATACAAATATTAGAAAATAAGTACAGCATATAATAAAACCTTAGTATTCTCCACATTTGTCAGTAACTGAAAATTTGATAAAGTACTCAATGAAACTCAAGCAGAATGAGTAACAAAAAAACTAGTAACTACCAATAGTAAGATTGGTTGTGTTTTCTTTTTTTGTATTACTGAGATAGGGTCTCACTATGTAACTCAGGCTAGCCTTGAGCTCACTTTGTAGCCCAGGCTGGTCTCAAACTCACAATGATCCTCCTGCCTCAGTCTCCTGAGTGCTGGGATTATATTACAGGTATACACCACCACACCTGGCCTAACAATAAGATTCTTGAACCCAGGGTTTCCACATTGAGCTACATCCCCAATCCTTATTACATTTTTAAAAATTTTGAGACACTGTCTCACTACATTAAGTTACTTAGACTAGGCTTAGATTTGTGATCTTCCTGCCTCAGCCTCCAGACTGCTGGGATTATATGTATGGATCTCTATACTTGGCTTTGGTTCTGTTTCTAAAGGTGAGAGGCTTGTATGTTAGGTCAGTTGTCTAAAACTCAGTCAGGCACAGGGGAATGTGGTCTGATCCCAGGCACCGCATGCTGCACCAGACCCGCCCTTAAGGCAGCTTGAGCCAGCCAAAAAAAAAAAAAAAATCCTTCTAAAGGTGGGTGACAAGAGAGGTTGCCATTTTAGTTTTTAGAATGTATAAATATTTACTTGTTACATATTTATTTTTCATATATTGTACATTTCAAAGTTAAAAGGCAGAATATTATTAGAAAACTTGGTATGATTATTGTACAATAATGATGTTTTGGAAAGTATGTATGCATTGAAAAAAAGCTAAAAACATACACCTAAATGATAATGTGAGTTGTCTAGATTGTGGGTTTCTTATTGTTGCTGCTGCTATTGTTACACTTATGTATACTGAGCATACAGCTGTCTTTTTAAAATGGAATTAATCTAAGTGTATCAAGAGCAATGCTGAACTATCCCACCTAACATGTTTTCTAGCTTCCCAGAAAAATCATTTCCTAATGTCTAGCACATATTCTGCCTAGGTGTGGTTGTACCACAATTTCAGCTTTAACATTAAATATAACAAAATTTCTCATAACTGCTAACTACTGGACTTTTTACCCTTATTGTAATCCTATTCTCATATTTAAAATTCTAATTTTGGCTTTACTTCCTTTCCTTGTACCAGATAGAAAAATTCTGAAAACAGGGTCTTATGTATAAAGCAGGCATACAATAAATCCCTGTTCCTTTCTACAATATGTTTTGTTTTCAACCAGTTAACATCACTATAATCCTAATTTATGAGTTTGCTTCTTGCTCAGATCTACCCAATTTCAGTGAAGACATCAGGTCTAGAGGCATCAGTGACCAGTCACTGGTGAAAAGATGAGGCACCTAGGTGGGCCTTCCCATTTGAGCTGGCTGTGTTTTAGGCTCCTCTGCCTTACCTCAAAGTTCTACTAAGAGATCATTTTATCAAATAAAATACAAATACAGGTGTTAAATGGTATAAGCCATGTAATAACTAAAATCAAATTAAATATTAGAAAACATTTACTAAAACAAATTTACAACTTATTCTCAAATTTTTTCTATTCTCAATTTTCTTAAAAAGTTTTCAACACATAGAATGTAATATTGATAAAATACAAACAACTGATCGATAAACGATATTACTTACATGATATTATTACTCTTGTGTGCTCTCCCAATGTTTTGACACCATCGATATTTACAAATATCATAAACCAGTAATTCTTCTGGGAAAAAGTAGTTCCAACGCCGAATTCCTAAAATGCAAAAATTGTTTCTAACAGTACTATTCTTCTACCATATAAGAGTTAATAAAGAATAAGGTTAGATTTACCTCCTTTAATGTCATTTGTAGTCACCAAAGAAAGAACAAAACGATCAACTTCAGGATAGGGTGAACACTGAAAGCCTTCAATGGTTTCTACTGCAATAAATAATTATTTATAGGCAAAATTAGCTAAAAGATTAAAAGTTAAATTTTTACTAAATTGACAATTATTCAGTTAGGGCTTTTGCAATTCCTTGGCTTTCCCCCCTTTACTCTTTTGCAAATTTGTCTTAGCTCCTGAGTTCCTGCCACTCAGCAAGGAAGCAGGTAAAATTCCAATCTCAATTAGGCCATACATTGAGTCATTTTTATTAAACTCCCCTGAGATCATTTTAAGCACTTTCTTCACTCTGACAAAGGGAGAAGCAGCCACCCAGACCCTGAAGCTGCAGGGCCTGCTTCTACCAGGGTGCTCCTGAATTGCCGTGAGCTGGGCTGGCTCTTGTACTACAGCCTTAGTGGTCTGCTGCTGGGCACACATGACTTAGCAGAACTTCAACCTTAAATAAGTCTATTCTAGTCATGAGGAGTTCAAAAAAACAAGACCCTTCTGTAATTGTATCTGAATTACATTTTCCAAATCATAAGAATAAGCAAACATCATTCCCCTCCTGGCTACCAGAAGTACCCGTTACTGTTTTACCAACAACAGCTTGAGTTTCCTAGTGTGCCTCTGTGTATACAAGATTTATTAAGATGATAACCAATCAAAGAGCGGCTTGGCAACACCCAATTCAGAGCATGCCCATGCTTCCTTGTCCACTCCTGGCCCTTTCTCAGGTGCCCAGAGGTACTGTGCTGCCTACAGAGCATTAAACCCTGTTCACTGTGGCCCATTCTCTGTAGCCTCTACCTGTAAAGCTCTGGCAACTGTGTATTTAACCATGTGCTATACCAATTTAGGATGACCTATTGATAGTCTCATTCAACTTACAAAGACAAAAAAATCTAGTTTTCTTTTTTTAAATTAATTTTATTGAGAAAGAAATTGCAATATGACAGCTTCAAAACAGGTTGGTAGGAGAGTTATAACAATTAATGCATTGCATATTGTTGTCTTTGTAGTAGTCATTCATAGCACAAGATGCAGACATGATATCCTGTCCAAACACCAATAGTACAGATCTTTCTTCTTATTGAATTAGGAGAAAGTAGCTATATATCTATCCTAACTATTTTGCATATACAAATACAAAATTTTCCTTCATTTATATCACCTATTTTTGTTCAGTTTTGTCAGAGATGGGTATTCCATTGCCATCCAAATATTGTAGGTACATGAATTCAGCAAAATATTCCAATATAGTCCAGTATTCCACAATAGTAGTGGGTTATCCACAGGACTGGCAATGTCCAAATCTGATGACTTGAGCCTTCCACAGCTCAGCATATTAACATGGCTTCCCTCTTTATACCTCATTTCTACACTTTTCTGCTGGATGGTTATGACCAAGATAAAGCAAGACCTATATAACAAAAAATGAAACTTTTGTATCTGACATGGTCAGTCAAGTCCCCTCAGGACTTATCCCGAAACCCTGTACCGCACTCTGTAGATCCTTTGTCAGTGTCAGCCATGTGGATGAGTCATAGCCATTGCTTGACGAATTTGCTCTCTGAGAAAGCCTGAGAGAATGTTTTCTCTCCATGTGACTCTCTTTAGGTACACACCACATCATTGATCACATTCCTCTGTGGTCCCATAATCTCCTTGATTAGAAAATGTGGGGTACAACTGAGTTACATGATGTTACTGTACAGGTTCTCCTATGTCCCGAGTCCTCACTGACCTTGAAAGGCTAGGGCCAATATGTTGGCTGTCCTTGCAGCCCTTCTTTTTCTCTAATTTTTGGTCTACAAACTTAGGTTGTTAACACTCCAGAAGAGAAGCTTATTATTGCCCTATAACATATGATAGTTTAACCTCACTATCTGTCTGTATATTAAACATCTTAGGCATAAGATGGAACTCTTTAAAAAAAAAATTACTTGAGATACAGTCTGGCCATAATTGGTACATCATGACAAACAGTATGTATTTAGAAGACCAGAATGACAGGCATTCCAAGCATGACCCCACTATTACACATTGCTATCTTCAGTTGAACTGAAGATGTTGCTCAGTTCACATGTATCAGCTTATATACTTAGTCAGGGTGAGTAGTTTTCTTAAAAAGAGGCCTATTTTACTTGTCTGGGAATATATGTTAAATAACTAGAGGAAAATTAACACATAAGTGAATGTCATTTTTAGCAGGCTTATAAGATACCATACGCACAACTTTAGAGCCTACTTTTTCTCTTCCACATTACACAGATCTTACAAATCTAAATTTAATGAGTATAGAGTATTTCATAGTATATAAGTGATATCCCAAAATATGTAAATAAAAAAATACACTGAGTTTATGTAAGAAATTTTAGACAACCTTTCCTTATTCTTCACCATAAGAGTAAATAAATTCCAATAAAGTCATACCATAAAACACTGCAACCATCAAAAGAATGAGCTCTCTGGCTCTCTAATGGAAATGCAGGAAAAGCTTGGCCAGGTTAATTAGGAAACTATATAGTGGTTACCTCTCTGTGGAAATAAGTGTAAAAAGAACATGTACTTTTTATTTTGATGTGTTTATATGAAAAACATATATTACTTTTGATTTATATAGTATAAAATAAAAATTAGTGAACAGTATTTTCATAAACATATTTTGTTTACATCTTGGGTAGAAACCTAGAAGGAGTTTCAAATGAGCCACAATATGAATACTTAAAATTTAAGATTTTCAAGGCAAAATGGAGTTTATATTCTTAAGCTTTGATAGGAAATTATTTTCTTAAAATTACCTGAACTGCTAGTACTGTTAACATTTTCAGTTCGCTTTTGTTTATCCAGAGATGTGTCACATGTAAGAATCCGTAAAGAATCTGAGAATCTGAAGAGGTAAATACATAAAAATATAAGGTAATATTAGAATTAAAGTAGCGTGACTATAGAGAGGAAGTTAGTTCCAAGTAATTCCATTTTTAGGCCATGTTTTCCCACAGAATCACCAATCCTAGTATAAAGAAGGAGGAGGAGGAAGAAGAGGAGGAGGATGGGGCTGGGAGATAGCTCAGCAGTCTAAGTGCCTGCCTGGCAAGTGGAAGGCCCAGAGTCTGATCCCTGGTACCACATGCCATGCTGACTCCAGAGCCCTGGGCACACAGTGCTGGCCTAGAAATTGGGCATGGTGGCACACACCTGCCATTCCAGCTGGGAGGCTAAGACAGGAAAATTGCGAGGAGTCTGAACTGTGTAGTGAGACTCTGTATCCAATAAATTAAAAAGAAAAAAAGAAAAGAAAAGACAAACAGGTATGATGATGGATACCTATAATTCTATTACAAACTGAGGCAGGAAGATTGTTAAGTTCATACCTAGTTTGGGTTACATAATAAGAATCTGTCT